GTTTTAAATAAATTAGAGTGTCCAAACATAAATTAGTGTCCAAAAAAATATATATATCTTCAGTGACTTGAACCAATTGTGAGAAATCCACCACCAAAGGAGATTAAATGAACTCACCAGAGCTAATGGCTGGTCAGATTATAAACCAGCAACAGCGCTTGTGCTCTGGGAGCAATGAACCCGATGTCCAAATAGATATGGTGATGTTTCAGACACTTCCAGATAATAATCACAGCCAAACAACTTTGCAGCCCAAGCTCTTATGATGAACTTCTCCACTCTGTCTCATACCTCCATGAGAGCATGCAGTACACTCAGGGACAAAAAAGAGAACATAATGGTGCAATACGTTTTTTTCATTTATCTCTTTAATAAAAAAGGTATAAGGAAACTCACAAACAAGGTGTCCAACAGACACCAGCTTCAATCGCAAAAAAGGGTTGAGATACAGTTAACGCTCACCGCAGATCTCTCCCATACAGCACAGACCAGCAAGGCTCTCTAACATCCACATCAAATAGGCTACGCCCAACCGGTTTCGTCACACCGACGTCATCAAGGGGCGGTACAGATGGGAACGTCAGACAGCTCTTATAAATACCACCCTTCATCTACATAGTTTTAACACCCAGCCAATCACTGCGTTCCTAGTCTCCTTAATCACGCCGGCTAGAACAGGTGTTTCCCAATTTAATTATACATATACTCTATTATATAAACAAAAAAGCTAAATATATATACCCTGCAGGTTTGAATCAGCACAATACCGTTCTCCTTCAAAATCACCCACAAAAAAATATAAATATAAAAACATAAATATATGCAGAAAAGCAATATATACCATCCTGTGCATGGCTCTTCAAACCACAGAAAAACCCTTAAAGGGCCATGCACAGAACTTAAAGCACAACTCTTCTCATACACAAAAAAATTTTAAAATAATTTTTTTTTTTTTTTTTTAAAAAAATATAAACCAAATTAAAATAAACTATATATAACGATCACTACATGTAATCAATATTTTAAAATATTTATCTTAAAAATTAGTCAAAAAACAATTTAAATCAATATCTATGTTTAAACCTCTTGGTACTAAAGACTCCAATTCATATATCCAAAAAGTCTCCTTTTTTGATATTTCTTTAATCAGATCTGAACCCCTCCAATGACTTTTTACTCTCTCAATTCCATAAAATGTCGCTAAACTCGGATCACTATTGTGTCTTAATTTAAAATGTCTTGAAACACTATGTTTGTCAAACCCTCTCTTTATATTGTTCAAATGTTCATTTATCCTAGTCTTCAACTGTCTCCCTGTTCTTCCAACGTACTGAAAATGACACGGGCATTCCAAAACATAAATCACATGAGAGGAATTACACGAAATAAGTTGTTCGATCTTATATTCTTTCTTAGTTATATTTGAAATAAATTTCTTCCTCTTTATTTTATTCGATCTATTTATCGTTCTACATGCTTTACACCTGTTACAATGAACAAATCCCTTCAAATCGGGAAAAAAAATCCACCTCTTTTGGTGGATCTAAAACATTATGCACTAATTTCGTCCTTATAGATCGATTTTTCTTATAAATAAATTTAGGTTTTTTTGGGATGATCTTTTTCAATACCTCATCTTTTAACAAAATCGGCCAATATTTCTTGAAAATACCCTCAATCTCTTTATACTGATTATTAAAGTTGGTAATAAAAGCCATATCAAAGTTGTTATTCTTTATCTTTCTATTAGACAGAAAAGTACTTCTATCCTTTTTATCAATCATTTCCCTTTCTGTTGACAAAAAAGGTTTTTTATATCCTTTCTCAATAAACCGATCGATCAATGCATCAGTTTGATCAACAAAATCTTTCCTTAAACTGCAATTCCTTTTAATTCTTGTAAACTGACTTCTTGGGGTATTATATAGCCATTTAGGATAATGTCCACTTGAAACCGGGATATAGCTATTTTTATCAATATCTTTAAAAAAAGTTTTAGTATAAATCTGTCCATCATATTTATATAAGATCAAATCCAAAAAATTAACCTTTTCAAAATCTTTAGTAACAGTAAACTTCAACCCATAACGGTTTTTATTAATATAGTTTGAAAATCCTTCAAGATCTATTTCAGAACCCCTCCAAATTACTATAATATCGTCTATGTAGCGCCTATACAGCGCCACCTGTGGCCATTTTTCAAATATACATTCTTCTTCCCATTTATCCATAACGATATTAGCTACACTGGGAGCATACTTAGCACCCATAGCAACGCCCCTACATTGCTGAAAAAAAGTATTATTATACCAGAAGAAGTTATTCGACATCACAAATTCTAGTAATTCACAAATAAATGCTCTTTGAGTTCTTTTAATATGTGATTTATGTTTCAATGCCCATTTAACTGCTTTCAAACCATCATCTTGTTTAATGCTGGTATATAAGGACTCAACAACAATAGTGACCAAGTAGCAACCTTCAATATTCTCTAAACTTGCCAAAATACCAATAAGTTCTCCACTATCCCTTAAAAAGGAACGATTGTTCTTCACTATCGGTTGTAAAAATGAATCTATGTATTCTCCGACTCGAGAGAAAATAGAATTAATCCCACTCACAATGGGTCTACCAGGGGGTGTTTTTTTATTTTTATGTAATTTGGGTAGGTAGTATATAGTAGGAATTCTTGGATTATTAATACATAAATATCTCGCCTCTTTCTCGTTTAAGACTCCTAAGTCTTTACCTTTATTAATCAGCAGTTTTAATTCACCCTTCAATCTTTTAGTAGGGTTTGATGCAAGAATTTTATATGTATCTTCAACTTTAAGCAATCTATCCATCTCAAGTTCATAATCTTTTTTTATTTAAGATAACAATGCTACCACCCTTATCAGCCCCTCTAATAACAATCTCTTTTTTTTTTCTAAATCTTTAATACCTTGTCCGAGTTCTTTTGAAGTATAATATCTCTTTTTAAGATTCATATCTTTAATTTCAGTCTCAACCATTTTTTTAAAAACATCTAAATATTCATTCCCTGTATTTGCTTTTCTGCATATATTTATGTTTTTATATTTATATTTTTTTGTGGGTGATTTTGAAGGAGAAACGGTATTGTGCTGATTCAAACCTGCAGGGTATATATATTTAGCTTTTTTGTTTATATAATAGAGTATATGTATAATTAAATTGGGAAACACCTGTTCTAGCCGGCGTGATTAAGGAGACTAGGAACGCAGTGATTGGCTGGGTGTTAAAACTATGTAGATGAAGGGTGGTATTTATAAGAGCTGTCTGACGTTCCCATCTGTACCGCCCCTTGATGACGTCGGTGTGACGAAACCGGTTGGGCGTAGCCTATTTGATGTGGATGTTAGAGAGCCTTGCTGGTCTGTGCTGTATGGGAGAGATCTGCGGTGAGCGTTAACTGTATCTCAACCCTTTTTTGCGATTGAAGCTGGTGTCTGTTGGACACCTTGTTTGTGAGTTTCCTTATACCTTTTTTATTAAAGAGATAAATGAAAAAAACGTATTGCACCATTATGTTCTCTTTTTTGTCCCTGAGTGTACTGCATGCTCTCATGGAGGTATGAGACAGAGTGGAGAAGTTCATCATAAGAGCTTGGGCTGCAAAGTTGTTTGTCTGTGATTATTATTATCTGGAAGTATCTGAAACATCACCATATCTATTTGGACATCGGGTTCATTGCTCCCAGAGCACAAGCGCTGTTGCTGGTTTATAATCTGACCAGCCATTAGCTCTGGTGAGTTCATTTAATCTCCTTTGGTGGTGGATTTCTCACAATTGGTTCAAGTCACTGAAGATATATATATTTTTTTGGACACTAATTTATGTTTGGACACTCTAATTTATTTAAAACACTAATGTTTTTTGGATGATGACGTTCCTAACTTACATTTTTTTAAGAAGACGACATTGCCTGCCTTATTTTGGCACTATACAAAGGTCTAAGGTAAGTAATGTTCACTCACTGGGGAAGCTTCAGGGTTACACCACCCATTCTTACCTGACAGATTATTTTCTGCTTGAAAATTGCATGATGCATTTCTTTGGACACCTTGTAGAGTGACTCTCTCCATTCTACCTAACCCAGTCTCTTTAACCTACAAACTGCTGCTGCACAGGTTCCCTAAAACTGTACTGGATTCTTGGTCCCCTTGTGTGTTGACCAAAAACTGCCCATAGCGCCACAGGTTCCCATGCTATTCTCTAGCAGAACCAGCTCACCTGGTTCTAGAAACTCAAGACAGAAATTTGTAAAGAGGACCTGTCGCTTCTTGACATGCTGCTCAAAATAATTTATTTTCTTCTGATAAGAGTGTTAATGAAAATGTAGAATTTTCATACTTCTGACATAATCCCAATGTATTCTGTGTTAACATGAAACATGGAGCTTGATAAATGAAAAACGTATTCTTGATGCACATAGTAACGACATTTTTCCTCCAGTGCTCTGCAGGAAAATGCAGATTGGCAAAATGTATTTTTGTAGTGTTTACTATACAGTCGTTTCCACTGGTGGCTAACTGGGTCTCACCTGTTTCTCCATTACAGAGTGGCAGTGAGGCATTAAAACCTTATCTGCCTAACAGCTGAGAGCCACAAGCCCCTTGGTGGCAAAAACTAGGATTCCTATATGTATGTATGTGCATCAAGAGGTTCAATGAACTATCATTTGATTCGACTTATCTTCTCTTTACACTGAACACATTGTCTAGCATTTTGCTTTCTTTTCCAATGCAGCAAAATGCATGGACAAGAGAAAATAGTGCATATTCATATAAATAATTTACATTGCATTGTGTTGTGTAGCTCCTTGGGTTAATGGCTGCATTTGTGGGGATGAAATTAGCACATGTATACCTAAATCTAATTGGGGAAAGCATATAAGTAGCCAAACCACTGGGTGCTATAGTTTTGGTTAAGACTACTAAGAGATTAATTAAAGTGTTACTAAACCCAGGACCCTGCATTCACTATATCTGGTCTCCCACAGTACACAGAACATGGAAGTGCAATTATTTTTAATAAATATAAACTGCTAAATACCTTTTTTGATCATCAGTTTGAGCAGTCTTGTAACTGACTTCTATCAGTGTCAAGCCGAGCACTGGTTAAAGCTTGTAGGAGGAGTTTTCATTTTGCTCTAGGAGGATGCAGAACCCCTGACCTCTGTCTGGACAGTGCTGATTGGCCCTGTGCTGATCACAGGCACTCTCCCAAGAAAAAAAAACATCTCTAGCAATACACACCAAACTGAGCAAATGCAAAGTGACTCCACATGATATCTCTTATCGGGGATAAGAGGGGGACACTGGAAGAAGGGGGGGATCAGAGAAGTCAGAATCAAACAGCATTTTGATACAATGCAGAGGATTAACTCTTTAGGTTCCACAGTGAGTATAACAAGCATGCTTTACTCCATATACAGACTGATTTTACTGTTGTGGGTTTAGTAACACATTAACTGTTAAGAGATCCTTCTAAATTCAGCCACAACATCCAAGAATTGTTAAAGCAAAGCTTAACCAATCCTGAATGACCATCCCTCTTACGTGCTGCCATTTTTTCAAGAAATTGTAGATGCACAGATGTGCCACCAGTCTTTTCCAGAAATTTAGTAACTGGTAAAGACTTGCAGCGCATTTGCACAAGCTCATAAATGCTGCCAGCTTCTGTAGAAGGGCACTATAGCACCCCCACGACATTTATGTGCACATGCGCCACATGGTTGCAGCTTAGTAACAAACTGCCTCCTGGGGTAGCTGTGAATTTAGCAATCCCAGGAGGAAATAGTTCCCAACCTAGGCCAGAAAATAGGAAAAAGCAACACATTTTAGCATTTGTGTAAGAGCAAAAGGGGAAGTGACAGACTAAAAACTCTTGTTCCAGTGAATTAAGTTCCACTTCCAGCTGCTGTATATTACGTTTTGTTTTTGGGTTTACTACCACTATAACATCATTTTGTATTATAAGAGCTGCAATAATATGATAGACCCTTTTTAATCCTTTATTGTCTCTAATTTGTACAGGCTAATTGTTTTTGACAAAGGTGAAATTGTTGAATTTGACACTCCTACAAGACTTCTGGAAAATAAGGGACTATTCTATTGCATGGCAAAAGATGCTAATGTTATTTAACTGTTCAGAAACTGAATTTAGAGTTACTAATCAGTAGACTCAGGGAGCAAGCAGAGAACTGCACAACAAATATCTTTAGAAAATGTGTCTTATTTCAAAACAACCTAATTGTCTTTTTCTTATATTTTTATATAACACCTGATATCTCTTAAAATGCATATGATGTATTTCCATTTGTTTTTTTTTACTGCAATATTGATATTTAAAATAGAAGTTTACTTTTACATATTCGAATAGTAAACATATTCACTATTTAATATTGCCAGGGGTGCCTATTAACATTGCAGATATGGCCTCTACTCTAACCTTGATCTCTTCTTACCCTGTGCTTTTCCAGCTGTTATCATAGGTCCAAGTCAGTATAAGCATCATCCTATTTGCTTTCAGTCTGTCTGCATCTGCATTGAAATTGCAGAGTACACTGTGGATATGAAGGCAGCTACTGCACATTCCTGTTTGGCCTATCAATCTCAATACCGCTTAATAACCCAATAACAGATTTGTAATTTAGCATGTTAGCACTGGGGCTATCAATGGGTGTTATCTATTTTGGAGAGTTGAAGATTAATCAGTTTTTTATTTTCCTAAAGACTTGAATCAAGCAATTTAGGAAACCAGACTATAAGGATTCATTTCTATGTTAAAATTATATCTAAATGAGTCACACTCCACAATATATATTAAATCAGATGTAAACATATGACACAAAATAATATAAATGTGACAAAACTGTGTGCTTCAAACAGTGCAATATCTTGTGCAAAAAAGCATATAAATATATAAAAATATACAATCATAAAATTTAATATACAGTCCACTCTGTGCTTCAAATCTTGCTAGTGCCTATAAAAAGTGCCGTGCAACACTCCCGGTGCTAAAGAATAGGTGTACGCTCACCTTACCAATTAGCCAAACTAAGTTTGGCTAATTGGTAAGGTGAGCGTACACCTATTCTTTAGCACCAGGAGTGTTGCACGGCACTTTTTATAGGCACTAGCAAGATTTGAAGCACAGAGTGGACTGTATATTAATTTTATGATTGTATATTTTTATATATTTATATGCTTTTTTGCACAAGATATGCTTTTTTGCACAAGATATTGCACTGTTTGAAGCACACAGTTTTGTCACATTTATATTTTTTTGTGTCATATGTTTACAATTGATTTAATATATATTGTGGAGCGCGACACATTTAGATATAATTTTAATTTAATTTTTTCACACAAATTATGAGTATGTGTTTAGTGTTGATGCATCACAATTTTATAACAATGCCTTTGCCTAGGTGGTCAGTGGGATTAAAAAACACCCCATTATTGATGTTATTGGGAGAAAATATGACCCATTGAGAGTGTTAGTGGTAGGAATTATGCCCCCCATCATTGGTATCAGTGGGAGGAATAGTGCCTTCAAACAGTAGGGATATTAGTGCTCCAAAGGCCAGATAAAAGCAAGCAAAGGGCCACATCTGGCCCACGTGCCACAGTTTGGAGACCACTGAAGTAGATGGACTTTTTGTCTTTTTTCAACCAGACTAACTATGTAACTGCTTACGCAATTATAAATTGCATCGCACTGTGCAGGTTATGCAAATCTGCAAACAAATATTTAGGAGAATCAAAAATTGTGCAAACCACCAATTTGCCTGGTATTTGAATTGGTTTGCTCATCACTATTCCCAACCAGTCATGTGTTCAAGTAGCTGAGGTGGTGGTGGGGAAATGCTATGCCTTTGCAGAAGAGTGATGTAGGTGACTGACAGATGCTTTGACCGTGGTGGAGGTGAGTGGGATGTATGTGCTTCTCAACTAACCTCAGGTGGTTGGAAGGGTTTGTGCTGTTGGTCATGTGACTGGTGAACCTAACCACTGGCAGAGAAGTGGGAATTTGGGTGGGATGTAGGTAGGGAAGTGATGTGGCACAACAGACCCACCGCCTCCTAGATGCAGAGTCCAAACTATTCCAATATGCTAGTAATTATGACAACAACAATGGCTATGCTGTTCTCCTCCTCCCATTCCTGGCCCTGCCCCTGATGGGGAAGGAGAGGGAAGAGTTGGACAGGGGGTGAGAGTGGGGGACAGCAGTTTGGGATTGGGGGTGAGGAGTGGGGAATTGCAGCTTTGATATGGGGACAAGGAGCAGGATGGAGGGTAAAGACCAAGGCAGAGCAGCTTTGGATTGGAGGGTGAGAAAAATGGGAAAACAGGGTCAAGTGGGGGATGAGAAGCAGGGCTTAGCAGGGGCGAAGAGCTTGGGACAGCAGTGTCAGATGGGAGGTGGGGAACCAGAAAGAGTAGTTAACCTTGTGTGTGCAGAGATTTCACCCACAGGCACATAGGCAGGTGAAATTTCCTCCACATCATCTGAGCTGCCTATTCTTCTTTTGCTTATTTACATGCTGAATCCCTTGCTACACTTCTAGAGAAAAAGGAGTGGAAGACACCCAGACTTATTCCCCCAACCCCATTCTGAAAGCACTGGGTCGCTACCTTACTTATTATTATACAGTATTTATAAAGTGCCAATAGTTCGCTCAGCGCTGTACATTACAAAGGGTGACAGAACATGTGACAGAACAATACCAATACAATGCAAAACATGAGGGGATCGAGGGCCCTGCTCTTTCGAGCTTAGAATCTAGGAGATTTACCTGCAAGACTAGCAATAACTCTCCCACCTGAGTCATCTGACACATGAGGAGTACCTTTACCCTTCTGACAGATGGAATGGTAGCAAAGGTTTTTTTGGCACAGACATGGTAATGTTCCCAGTCATACTAATATTGATGCAGATGTGGGAGCCCAATTGCTGTGTGGACAGAGGACATGATTCATTTGAGCTGCAGTAAAGGGGGAAACTGCTGGATAATTTTATAAGTGAGTGTTCGGGTCGTCCCACCCACCAGACCCTGGGCTCTGCCTCTCTTGCCAAGGTAGCATGTGGGTAACATGGCTCTGGCTCGTGGGGGTGTTGTAAGGGAGTTGGAGTACCATTTGTTTTGCTAAAGCACAAGCAAGTGCTGCCCAGCTGTGGGGATGTGCACTGTGTGTCTTACGTACCAGACACAGTGTTACGTTTCTCTGTTTCTGTTCCCCCTGTGGCAAAACAAATTTTGCACATTTTACTTTAGTTAACTAAGGATGTTTTGTTGACATTAGCCTATCAATATTGTGTTGTAAATGAATAAACTATTAACAATGGGTTAATAGCATATGACATTATTTAACATATAATGTGTATTTGAGCCGCAATGATGCATAATATTGCCTCCAAATTACTCTCAAATCATGAAGGAAACAAACTACCTCTTGTTGTTAAATCATCAGATCATGTACTTGCCATGTCTATAGCCTATATGTAGATTATTTTTTTTTTATATAAAATACTAACGTTTATACATTAAAATGTGTTTGTTTTATAATTATTTTTAAACTGATGTCAACAATAAATATTTTAATTCCTAAACACTGGTTTGGTTTTATTCTGAGGTTGGGAATATGTAAAAATGTAAATATGTATAGTATTTACCTTACATAAATATATAAGCTAATCTGCAGGTTGCTGGTTTTAAATGCGTAAATTATTGCTGACATTTAGTTTACATAGTTACAAAGTTAGTCTGACTGAAAAAAGACAAAAGTCCAACCAGTTCAACCATTAAAAAAAAGTTATAATCCTATACCCACAGGTGATCTAGAAGAAGGCAAAAAAAACCCAGCAAAGCATGATCCAATTTGCTCCTGCGTGGGGAAAAAATTCCTTCCTAATCAGTTATTCCCTGGATCAACTTTACCTATAAATGTTAGTATCCAGTTATATTCTGTGTATCTAGGAAAGAATCCAGGCCTTTTTAAAGCAATCCACTGAGCTGGCCAGAACCAACTCTTTAGGGAGTCTATTTCACATTTTCACAGCTCTCACTGTGAAGAAACCTTTCCATGTTTGGAGATTAAATTTCTTTTCCTCCAGATGTAAAGAGTGCCCCCTTGTCCTCTGTGATGACCTCAGGGTGAATAGTTCTACACCGAGTTCACTATATGAACCACTGATGTATTTATACAGTTGTGTTCAAAATAATAGCAGTCAGACATCACTAACCTGATCAATCACTGTTTTTGGTAAAAATTATATTTCTACATGGCAAATAATTTACTAGCAGGTGTAGTAGAGTAATAGAAATCCAACAGACCCAACAGTCATGACATGCATGCTGCTGATTCTGTGTAATTGAATCACTAATTGAAAGGGGCATGTTCAAAATAATAGCAGTGTGGAGTTCTATTAGTGAGGTCATTCATTCTTTGAAAAA